TATATATATAATCTTTACATCAAACACCTCTAAATATGACTCAGAACAGACCCCTGTGGAACCCCTCTGGCATGTTTACCTGAGTGTAGCAACGTTTCAGGAGCCCCTTGTCCTTCATCATCTTAATGAAGTAGTGACAGATTGTCGGCTGAAGTAAAGAGTAATAATAAATTTAAAAATAATAATAACACACATAAGACTGTAAACTACAAGCTCTAAACAGGTAGTTTGTTGTACCTTAAACTGTCCTGGGTAAAGCTCCCTTGCCAAAGCAAAAAACGGCTCTGGATGTTTCTGAAATTAAAGATGGAGAAAATACTTGTTGCCATTTAATTTTCTTTTTCTTTAAAGAAATATGCGATCTTTAAGGCATGTGCAAGAAACGTATTCACAAACCTTGAAGTAATCTATTTGAAAAATGGCCTCTGGGTAGGGCAGGTTATACTTTTGCAAGTTTGCATAGAGGCCAGTTCCTGGGGAGCGGAAGTCTGGGATCCCAGCAGCTGTGGAGGCAGGAGGAGAGATTACTGATGAAGAACTAAACTAAATAAACAATGATGAATACAAATATCAAAACAAATGTAATAGTTCAACCTGAGATATTAAATGAGGAATACTCACATGTTGATATTCCTGCTCCGACCATACAGAGGATATTTTTACCTGTTTGGATGCAAACAAACGTGTGACTCTGTCGTTATTACCTGTAAGAAGTAAAATCAGTGAAAACAAATTCTCACATTTGCCGCTGTTTATGTATCGTGCCACGCCCTCCAGAGTCAGGTCATCCAGAACTTTCTCTGCTGAGCCCAGACCCAGACCGGTGGAGAACAGACTGCGCAGAAGGTCCACTGGCAGCAACACAGGAGAGGAAAGGAAGAGTGAAAACATGAGACTAAAATAGGTTCATGTTTGTGACTGGCCAGAAAACTGGAACAGATTCAATATTTCTAGAACCTCTGATCACAGCTGGCAGAATTCATACAACAAATAAAGAGTGACATTTGCACACCAGCTGTATCGCCTAAAAACTTAAAAAGAAACCTCAACTTTTCCCTGCAATTAAAACTGACAGACTGATTTGTTGGACTTGATTATTAATTAAAACTTTTTTAATTTAATCTCATGTTTGAGCATGAAAAAAAAGCACAGAATCATTCAGGTACACAAACTCCTCCACCAATTAATCAACTAATTAATTAAACTAAATTCATAAACTTTGAGTCCAGCTCATAAATTGTCTATGGCATTATCTATGATCAAACAAAATGTTTATACTATAGTTTAGATACAATACACTTTGTTTAAATTATCCCCAATTTCCATTTAATTAATATAATCCTCATGAAAAGTTTACACTCTCAGATTAACCTTCCATTAAAAGATTTCTAACATTTCCAGAAATTCATTGGAGATCTTCTTTTCTGCCCCTTTTTACCCCAATTATGACACACTGGTTTCTGCATTTGGGGCCTGCAGAACATTTCAAAGTCATGGGAAAAGAAACAAATCTATGACTTTCATGAATAATATGTCAGCCAGGTGTAGCTGAAGCGCTTTATTGGAACAGGTTTCTTTACTTTCTGTATCTTCTGCAGATTCCTCCTCACTGCTGTCTTCAGATTGTCCCTAGAACAGAAACAATGTTGACATTTAGTGGTTTTTAGGTGCAGAAACTGTGTGGTGGTTTGCTGTGGAGTAAACCCCTGCACTTGTCTTCTTGTTTTTACTGTCTTAAAAAAGCTTTCAGTGACAGGGCTAACCATGTCCAGCCTTAGATAAACTGCAAATCTCACCTCTGGTTCAGATGAAACCGTCTCTTCTTCTTTGTTGCGAAGCTCTACAAAATAATAATAATATT